CAGGAAATTTCAAGTCTCTGAGTGGGTGCACTTCAGGGAGGGCACAACCTCAAGGAAATGGGGCTGGCACCAGGGACAAACCTGCCCAAACTCTGTCACTTTCTTTAAAAAATTCTATTATTTGTCATAGGTGAAGAACACCTGAGAAATTTGAGATTTTTGTGTATTATTTGTCTGATCTATATTATTTGAGGTCCTTTCCCTGGTTTTATTTTGCTGTAGAAATACCAGGAAAATCCCAGTCTCAGACTGGGGCCACTCAAGGAGGTTTTTGCCACTGCTGCCACTCAAGGTTTTTGAAACTTTAACAGATTCCTCCTTTCTGCTACCAACAAAACCTCTGATTTAAGGAGGAGGCAGCCACAAGGAATGTAGTGACAAGGAATGTGTGACAAGAACTTTTTGATATTTTAAAACATGTGCTCTCAGGCACAGGGACGGTTTTTTGGGGCCATCCCATGCAGGACCGGGAGCTGGGCTTGGCTGATCCTTGTGGGTCCATTCCAACTCAGGATCTACTGTGATTCCATTCTCTGATTTCAGTGCCTTTGGCTGATCCTGGCTCAGTGAGCGCAGCTTTGCAAAGGAAGTGGTGCAGTCAAGGCTCAGAGATATTAAAAAAAGGCCCAAAAATCCCACTGCTGACACTCCCTCAGAGATATTAAAAAAAGCCTCAAAAATCCCACTGCTGACACTCCCTCAAACATATCAAGAAAATTAAAAAAAAAAACAGGAAATGCCCCAAAGCAGGGCGGGAGAACCCTACAGACCCCAGCGCTCAGAAGGCTCGGGGTGACAGCCAGCTTGGATTTCAGACCCCACTCCAGCTCTGGGAAGAACCTCTGGGACAGGAACACCCCCTCCAGGAACAGCAACCCCCCAGAAAACCCCAAAAAAAGCTCAATTACCATCCTCATCGGTGCGGACGATGACCGGCGAGCTCTCCGGGCCCGGCCCCACCTCCGTGTGAGCCACCACGGTGACGCGGTACTCGGTCCACTTCTCCAGGGACTCCAGCAGGATCTGACTGGTGGTTGGGGGGATATCATTCACCTCCTTTAGCTCCGTGTCCTCCGAGTCCAGCGCTCGATAGTGGACGCTGTAGCCGGCCAGGACGCCGTTCTGGCTCTCGGCCGGAGGCGGCCGCCAACTTACCAGAATGGCGGTGGAGCGGGTGCTGACACATTTTACATCTTGAGGGGGGGCTGACGGTTCTACGAGGGGGTGGGAAAAGGGAAAGAAGGGAAGGTGGGGAGGGGGGGAAAAAACAAAAGATGGGAAAGATAAAAAGAAAAAAAAAAAGGAAAAAATGATAACAAAAAAATCTAAAATAAAACGTACGAAAGTTTGGTTTAGGAAGATAAAATTAAAAGAGAAGAGAGCTTTTTGTTGTTGTCTTTTTTTTTTAATGAAGAGGTTTTTTTATTTAAAAAAAAAAATGAAAAAAAAAAAAAAGCCAACAGAAATCAAATGGGGCATCAAAACTGAAATGGTGTAAAGCAAAGGACTAAACCAACAAGATGGGCCAGCCAAGAGGGGTCCTGCTGCTTCCACTAAGCTGGCACAAACTAAACACCCAGCTGCACCCTATAAAAACCCTCTCCTTTGGCTCCCTGTTTTACAGCAGCCTGGCAAACCCTGCTGTGGGCTGGGAAAGCACTTCTCTCCAACCTCAGCCTCTGGGATCTCAAATTGCTTTGAAGGGATCTGWGAAAATGAAGTAAGGAAAGCAAATCTGTTGCCAGGAGGCTTAAMTTTAAGAGTCTGTACCTCCAGATGGAAGCGATTAGCTGTCCCCAGACTGGAGGAGGCCAAATCCCACAGYGGGAATGCCCAGGACACTGCCAAGCAACGGTGTTTGAAGAGGAGGTTTTTGGGGGAGGGAGGCAGTGGGATTGGTGAGGCATTTCAGGGATCCAGGGGGTTTTCCAAAGCAGCAGCAGGTCCCATTCCCACCGTTCTCGCTGCCTGGAGTGCTCCAGGGTGCTCCTGAACATCCCAGGAGAAAACCTTGGGAAGTGTGGCCGTGCCTAGGCAAGTTCTCAGGGTGCCCAGGAGGTGGGCAAGGTGGAACYCACATCTTMCCCTAAAGCTCCTCTCATTCCAGYCCCTGCCCTAGGCAGGGACACCTTCTGATACCTCAGGATTTAACTTCTCTATTTCCATGTCTCTGTAACCCTGTAATTCTTTAGGGATAACTCCACACTCCACAGACAGTGCTGAGCTCCTGCTCGCCCATTTT